TAAAATAGTCCCTGGAGAATTTGAACTCAAGCAGGTAGGACCCCCAACTGAGAGAGCTGTAAATAGAACTATCTGCAGATCCCCTCTTAAGGAACTTGATTTCAATCCAGGATGGATGCAATTGGCAGAGACTTTCGAATCTTAAAAGATGTTAAAACGTAGGAAAATGTGCATATTAAAATCAAGAAAGCACAGTAAGTCATATCAGGAAAGATTCAGGTAAAATGTACAGAAATAGCTTACAGTCAGCATTCTTTAGGGCCAGATGACAAAAATGGAGACTTATTTTTGAAAAAAGAACAGAACCTTGGTCCATCTGCTGTGTTCTGTTGGCCAATACTGTGTCCTTTCTCACATCAGTTTCTTAGACTCAGCTAATTACAGAAGCAGAAAATGAAGCAAAAAGTTAAGATGGGAATCAGTGTAGAATCAGTGGAAATTGGATGAACTCTGAATTAGACCCACCAAAGTCCAGGCTTTCAGAGCTTTGTGACCCTGAGTGAGTGGCTTTACCTCTCTGGGTCTCTAGTCATATGACCTTTGGGTAAGATCCAGGCAATGATCTACCTTGCAGAGCTGTAAGAATTAAATATCATAAGTATAAACATCTAGCATGGTGCTTATCATATTTGCTCAACAATGATAGCTATTTTTATGATTATTACTTACCAGTTTCTAAGACTACAATCCTTTTTTGAGACTTTTTTCAAAGGCGGAACAAATAGGAACCTTAGTAGCCAGGGAAGACCACCTTCCTCTTGCTGCACATTCAGTAACAACTGTAAATATTGATGGAGTTCTCAGTCTTAATTGCACATGGGTCCTGGACTTAAGTATTATTTCAGCCGCACCACCTAGGCAGCACTGCCTCCTTCCCACAGAACTGGAAAGAGAATGGAGCTGGTCGCCAGGGCTGCCTTACTCCAACCAAAAGGAATCCCACTAAGTCTCCATCCTGGAGAAGTCACCTTCATTGATTTGGAGTGAATGGCTCTTCATTCTGCAAATACTAAGTGTCTTCTAAATTCCAGCCTCTAAATCAGGTTGCAAGGACTTAGAGATTAATAAACTTGGCTAGTGCCCTTGAAAGGCTAAGAATCTTGCGGAGGAAACAAGTGAGAAGTCCCATGACAGAGATGTAGGTGGAGGTTGTGGGAACAACTAGGACATATTAACTCCACCTGGTGAGATCAGGGAAGGCTTCAAAGAGGAGGTGACACTTGATAAATCTTAAGAGATGAACAGTATTTTGTCAGATCGGTACTATTGAGGTCTTAGGGATTCAGTACTTAATATTAATTTATTTTTTCCCTTCTCAAGTATGGAATCAATTGAGAAATAAGACATAACAGATAGATCACTGGAGGTCAAAATCTCAGCTTTATTGCTGAGAAAGCCAGTTGGAGAACATGGCTCTAGACTTATGGTCAAAAAAGCATGCCAAAAATGAGTAACTTTACAGTGGAGACGCCTGAAAGACACACCTCAGCCAAGTGATCAAGGTCAACATCAACATAAATCACATGATAGCAAGAACCCTTGTTATGATAGGATGAGACTCACACTTTACCTTGGTGGTCTTCCTCCCTCAAACCCATAACCCCAGTCTAAGTGTGAGGAAAAACTTCAGACAAATTCCAATTGAGAGACTTTCTACAAAATACCAATCAGTCATCCTCAAAATGGTCAAGGTCATCAAAACAAGAAAAATCTGAGAAACCACCAGAGCCAAGAGGAGCCTAAGAAGACATGATGAAAAACTTCAATGTGGTATCCTGGGTGGGACCGGGGAATGGAAAAGGGACAGTAGGTAAAAGCTGAGGAAATCTAAGTGGACTTTTGTTAATAAAAATATATTAATTTTGGTTCATTATTTGTAAAAAGCTACCATTCTAATATAAGATGCTAATGATAGGGGAAAGGATATAGAATATATGGAACTTTCTGTACTGTCTAATCAGATTTTCTAAAATTCAACACAGTTCTAAAAAAATAAAGTAATAGGAAAATAGAGGGTGGTGGGTTGCCAGTATACCTCAGCCCTCCATCCAAGCGTGGACAGTGGGGTGGATATTTGGGGACTGCAGAGCAGACACCCTGACCCAGAACTGCTGCCCAGGACAACCCAGAAAGGAAACTGAATCCCTAAATCTGAAGGCATTTAATTGGTTGTCCCACTATCTGTGACTCCCTCCCCCATTCGGGTCATGAAGATGGCCTCTACGCAGGGTCAGAGAAAGGTGGCAAAACCCAGACATGTTTCCAGAGAGGCCCTGGGCAAAGCCATCAGCACAGGATGTGGAACTAAACCAGGTGAGTGCAAAGGTTTGCCGCTTTCTACCTGTTCAACCTTGACAGGTTGCTTACCTTCTCTGAGTCTCGCTTTTGTGATCTGTAAGATGGAAATGGTAATAATACACACCTCAGTGGGCTGGAAGATTAAATTAGATGCTATAAGCAAGATAGCTGGAACAGTCCCTGGTATACAGTAAGTGATCAATGTGTATGTCAGCAGTTATTATTACTCTCATGGAAACATAAAGCCAGAGGAAATGTGCCCTCCCTGACCGTGCAGTCATCTTGGTTGATGACACCGGGCCCCCAGGAAACAGCCCCTCTGCGGGCAGGAAGTGAAAGGGGAGGGGCTCAGCCCACAGGGGCTGTAGCTGCAGCTGCACATGGGAAATCAGGTAAGATCAGACTGGAGCACAGCTGGGCTGAGCCACATGCCAGTGAATGCTAGGACTCTGGACTTTTTCAGGGATCAACAGGAACTTTTAAAGCTATGAGAGGCAGACTTTTTCTGTAAAGGGCAGAGGAATAAATACTTCAGGCTCTGTGGGTGAAGAGGCAAAATCAAGGATATTATGTATCCTTGCTATATAACTACAAATAAAAAATATATGTACCTACACATATATATAGCTATGCATATTATATATACATATAGTATAGTTGTATAACAAGAGATAACATTTGCCATGAACAAAATGGATTTTAAGAAGAATCGCTAGAACAGTTATTTTTGAACACCAAAGAGGTGTTTGAAAACAGCTACTAGGTGAGTCTGGTGCAGTTAAATAGACAAATTCCACCCCATCTCAATCTCCAACCCCCTGTAAGCACAAGTTTAATAAGGAAAACAAGTGGGGCACCGAGGTGGCTCAGTCAGTTGGGCGTCCAACTTCGGCTCAGGTCTTGATCTCACCTCTCGTGGGTTCGAGCCCAGTGACCGGCTTTGTGCTGACAGCTAGCTCAGAGCCTGAAGCCTGCTTCAGATTCTGTGTCTCCCTCTCTCTCTGACCCTCCCCTGCTCACACTGTCTCTCTCTGTCTCTCAGAAATAAATAAAACGTTAAAACTTTTTTTAATAAATAAAAATGAAAACAAGTAAGTAAATTGTGGGGTACTGTGGTCTACAATGGTCAGCGAAATCATCTTCAGCAACTACTGAGTTGGAGCCCCATTGCCTCTGATTTGCTCTCCGACTCTCCCGCACTCCATATTTTGAAGTCTTCAGAATAGCTGGTAATAAAAAATAAAATGAAGTGTCCTGGTATGTGAGAAGGCGAGGCACCCCAGGTGCTGTTGAGTTATAATTTCTAATGCACCAAGCAGCAAGGTGTCATGTGGGTTCGGTGGCTGCTGTACTGTTGTAGCAGAAAGCAACCGGAAACCACACGTGGGCACGTGGGCATGGCGGTGTTCCAACAAAACTCGATTTGTGGATACTGAAAGTGCCATTTCATATAATTTTTACAGGTGATGCAATGTCGTTCTTCTCTTCATTCCTCCTCCCTACCCCCCCCCCCCGCCAGCCCCGTCATTTGAAAATGGAAAAACTAGCCTTAGCTTCTGTACCCTACAAAAATAGACATTAGGCTAGATTCTGCTCACGGACCAGTTTACCCTCTCCTGGGTTGTTTTCTTAAACTATTTTTATTCATCTTATTTTATTGAAATATGGTTGACACAATGAAACGTTAGCTTTGGCTGCACAAGGTAATGATGGGTTATGCTACGCTCACTGCAACGGTCGTCACCACTATTACACTACCATTAACTATATGCCCTGTGCTGTGCCTTTTACCCCCGTAGTGCCCACTCCTGTTTTCAAGGATGGTCCTGAATAAACACTGCATCTGATCAACTCATTAGCAAGCAACACACCTAAAACCTCTTCTCTCCATGTTCTGGGGCTGAAGGGCTCTCTTGTCTCCAGAGCTCGGGAAATCCCTGCAGGCTTTCCTCTGACTCACCCACTTTCTAGTAATGTTTGTGGCATCTCACCCCTCCTTTCATAGCAGGTGCTGTCTCAGATGGCAGCGGAATGAAACTCAGAAAACTCTCATCACTCTAAACAGAGGGGATCCCAGGCTCCTGCCACCATTAAGAAAGAACTTCTTTTAGCCTCAGGACGGACTATTGCCAGAACTTAATGGGCTCAATTCGGTTGCTAGAACTCACTTCGACAGCATACCCCAGCTATGCCAGGTGTTACACTAGATGGATGCTCTGGACTCCCAGCCTCCAGGAAAGGGATGTTCAATGTGCCTGAGGTGAGTGACATGCAGATGAAAGGATATAATCCTCTATGTCTACAATTAAATATGTCTTTGATTTGTTATCAACTTGGATTGTATATTGAAAGGAGTTTTGAGGAGCGCCTGGGTGGCTCAGTCAGTTAAGCATCCAGCTTCAGTTCAGGTCATGATCTCACGGTTCATGAGTTAAAGTCCCGCGTTGGGCTTTCTGCTAACAGTGTGAAGCCTGTTTGGGATCTTCTGTCTCCCTCTGTCTCTGCCCCTGCCCCACTGGTACATGCTCGCTCATGTTCACTCTCTCTCTCTCTCAAAAATAAATAAACCTTAAAAAAAAAAAGAGTTTCAAAATGAGTAACAATAACCATAGGTGTAACCATTTACAGGTTGGTGCTGAATAAGGCAGGGGCCCTGAATGAAACAAGGAGGGAACAGAAAAGAAGAAAGAAGATAACACGGTCTCCTTAGTCAGTGCTGAGTCCCTGAACAGGCCTGGGAAGAGGACTCAGCTCCTTTGACAGAAAAGAAGACAAGTTCGCAAAGGCCAGTGGGTCTGCCAAGTTTCCATGGCTGGCGGGTGGACGTCATTGTCGCAGGCAGGCAAGCAAGGACAGATCAGACAGGCTTCTATGAACGAGCTGGCTGATACCACAGGTTTTACATCAGTTTGCGCTGACAGTCTTGAGTTCCTCCTCTTTAAGGAAGTGGGCATCAGCTGGGGGCCCAGTACAGTCTTGTGTACAGTTTTGTCCAGTGTAACTGACAGCATCCTCTAGGCTCTCAACGGCGTCTGGATGAACATAAATTAAATGGTGACCCTGCTATTTGGCTTGTTAATAGAGGTAAAGAACTTAAGGTTCTGGACAGGCCAGAGAGTGTCTGCTAGGCCTCAGGGACAAATAATAGGGAAGGCGTCCCAGGCTCATTGGGAAAGCCCAAAGCATGTGTTCATCATGCATTTGTTTGCTTCATCCAGCTCTTTCCTAAAGTGTTGGTCAAGTTCATACAGTCTTGTTTTATACTATGCAGCCATTTTCTTCATGCACGCAAACTCATAGCTTGTTTTCAGACAAACCAGGTCCAGAGCAAAAGCAGACCAAGCGCAGACAACACCTTTGAGCACATCAGAACCTGCCCCTTGGAAGAGCCCAGACCCTTCGAACAATCCTGGAGAGCGGTGACACCAAAGCTTGAAAACCCTTTTGCCCTTGAAGTTCTGGCTCGACATTGGGTGCTCTTTGGAGAACAGAAAGATTAGAAATGCTTGGTGTTGAACGTACTTGGTGTGGAACAAGTACCTAAGTATGGACAGGAGAGAGTTAAAGGTAAACATTAAATGGCCCCTAGCAATACTCAGGTGACTCTGAGCATCCTGACATTCAGTCAATAAAGGGAGAAGAGATGGTGTGTGGCACTGTTTTGAGCAGGTTTCCCGAAGTGTGAACTGAGGACTTCCTAGGGTGAGTGGAAACACAGATCCCTGATCTCCATCCCGGAATCTGAGAGCGAGGCCAGAGGCTGCATCCATAAAGGCACCAAGTTTTCCAATATGCAACACATGCTTGAAAGAACCTGATTCAGGAAAAAATTTCAATACATACCCTCTGACCATTCTCTTTCTACATTTTGCACTACCTTGTGGTTGTTTAACGGGCTTTTTTCCTGCCTTCCCTAAAGACGGAGTTCAATTAATGATGGAAAGAATCAATCAATTAATCAAAAGGGGCAAAGGGGAGGAAGGGAGGAAGGAATCAATCATGTGAATGTCAGTCTTTTGAAGAATTTAAAGCCGCTCTGTAATGAACAGCCCTCTGCCCCTCAGATAACACAGCTGACTGGGCTCAGGGGACTCAAGAAGGTTCCCATTGTTTTGTCCTGGTGGGTTACAGGCCTGATCTCTCCGTGGCCTCGCCTTCTGCTTGTGCTGTTTGCTACAGTAGGCCGTCAAATATCATTTTCTACTCATGCCATGATACAGAAAAGATTGGAAAGCACTGAAATTATTTCACCACAAACATATCTGTTAGCAATGATTCTGCACCAAATCTAATGTGTGGGGGATGGGCCCAGGGACTCTCCACCAACAAGCAAGTCTCCCGCAAGAGCTGTGTGTCATAGAATTCAACTCACTTCTGATGCTATCTCCCCAGAGATAGCACCAGATCCCACAGGTTAAGGACTCAGTCCACAACAATACCCCCCATGTTCCCCCCGACATGCACTTCAAATGCCAATGGCAAGCCCAGGTGCTCACCTGGGCACAGCTTTCATGCCCTCTCCGGGCACCACTCCCCCTGCATCCTCCTGTGTCCACCAATCCGGAAGCTCTCCTTCTGTAGCTCTCTTCCTGTCCTTCAGGTTGTATAGAGGCTTCATTTCATAGACACAATTGATTAAGCCATTGGCCATTAGTGATTGATTCAACCTTGAGCCCCTCTCCCTTCCCCAAGGTGAGGGGGTGGGACTGAAAATTCTAACCCTGGCATCACAGGGTTGGCTCCTCTGGCCACCAGCCCCCATCCTTTTGGTTATCTGGTGGGGGAGGGGCATGCTTTCCAAAGTCACCTCATCAATAGAACAAGAGATGCCTGTATCACCCTCGTCACTAAAGAAATTGCAAGGGTTTTAGTAGCCCTGTGCCCCAAACAGGGATGAGAACCAAATATATAATTTTTGTTATAAGTCACAATATCACACCTCCTTCACTGGTTGATTTCAGGTGGAAAGTGCCTTCAGTGTGCTTGCCATTGAGTGGGGCAGGGAAGCAAGGTTGTCATGGCCGCACATGGGTTTTTTGTCCAAGTCCAGCCATCAAGACAAGGTTGGTTTATCACCAGAACAGACGGAAGGCTGTGCATCTGCTCTGCACGCTCACTTCAGAAAAGACTGAAGTCTATGGCGCTAATCTGACCTGAAAACCTTGGCTCTCAGGCCTCTCTCCTCTCCCCCTGCTTTCCTTCTGAATTAACTTCTCCAGGTCCATGTTTCCCCATGTTTCCTGCAGGCTTCTGTCGCGTCAGCAATAAAAAGGAACGGGGGGGGGGGGGGGGGGGGGGGGGGGGGGGGGCGGCGGAATCCAAATGGAGAGAAGGAGGAGAGTGGAGAGTGCTGAGTAGCTGGTTTTGACAGCCCTCCCCCCCCCCCCCCCCCCCCCCCCCCCCCCCCGCTGCATTTCTGCAGGTTAGTCTCCACGGAAGATCCAAGAAGCCAGTTCATCGCAAACCTTTTATGTCTCTGCAAACCATGGGGCCCCGGGAGAGAAAACGGATGTGGTTTCTTGTTTCCCCTCCAGAGAATCATTTGGAGACCGATTTGCCCTTTTGATACACCCAAGTGTGACTCTAGAAGAAGCGTGAGGCTATATTTAACCTCAAACCCAAACCTTAGCGGTGACGTTGGGGGGTGGGGAGGGGGTGTGGGCTGTTCAGCCTAGGAATCAGCTGGGCTTGGCCTTCCCACTCACCCACCTGGCAAGAGCCCTCTGAGGGGCAGTTTTTGGCAGCGATGCTACTCCTTTTTCTAGAGTGAGCCCCGGCCTGTGGTTTCCCCTGGGGAGAGAGAAAGAAAGCCATATGCTAACTTTTTGTGGGCTTACATAGCAGAGGCAGAACATATGTCAAGGGAGTTATAGAGATGCTTTCTGTTCAGCACGGTCTTTGTCCACACGCTTTTTGGAGCACAAAAGCCCTCATTAATGCAGTGCACTTCCTCACACCCAGCAGACCCCAGTCGGCCCCTTGGTGATTCTAGAAAGCAGTTTCTTTGTTGACTGGAGAAGACTGTGGGCCTTTCTTCAGATCTTCCAGATAGTGAGGGCCAAATGTTACCTATCACCATGGGCAATAGCCTAAAAATATGGGCTAGAACTATACTGGGTTTTTTTTATAAGTTAGTTGTTAAAACAAAAACAAACAAACAAACAAACAAACAAACAAAAACTTGAGAGTGATGAACATTACAATGGTTAAGCAGTGATGTCTGCCTGGTAATGTCCCTACAAGAGAAGACCTCCACACCCACATGACAAAGCCGTCACTCAGATAAGTGTAGATATATGTTGCTGGATTGTTTTAAGAATCCCATGACTTTGAGAAAAAAGATGAGAAGGAAAAGTGCCAAAATGGTACTGCGTGGTGCAATGATATTTTTCTCTTTCTTCCTATTGGATATATTTTCCAATGGTGTAAGAAAAGCAGTTAATAGCTTTATATTTAGAAAAAAGGAGCTGGGCTGTCCTGGCCCTGGGACATCTATACACTATACAATAAGAATGAATTAACTTAGTGGCAGGTGCTTTTTTTAGGTGTGGGGGTGGGCAGGCGTGGAGGCATCGTTTCATGAATCATACGGTTGGAATCCAGCATCAAGAGGTCTTCCACCACGTGAATGGGGCTGCCCTCCCTCAGAAACATGTCTAAACCCTAAACCTGCCTGGCACTAGAGCTAGATAGGGAAGCAAAGGCTGGTGCGGTGTCCCCCAGCCACACTTCTAAATCCTGTTAAATGTAGGCTCCTGGAAACCTTTTTAAAAGTTTGAGAACCTCAGCTTTAATGAAAACTGCCATCAACCATTCGGTCTTCGTGAAGCAGTCTGGGAACAAGATTTGAAGAGAAGGAAAGAGAAATGGATGGGCTGCCTTTGACCCATCTGACTCTGTGTCTCTGGCCCATAAATGCGGCCATTGTCAGAAATTATCGTGTGGCTTGCCCCAGACTGATTTAACAAGTCATTTCTCCCAACCGCGTTTGCCTTGAGCACACATTGGAGACAGAGGACAGTGTGAGTGTTTGGACCTTTTAGCGTAGGTCTATTAAACCACATATGTTTCAAATAGGAAGCTAATGAGAATTTTCCCTCTTGCCAACCCCCAGCATCGAGCTTTAATAGCATATACTGGAGAAAGGAATATTCCAGATACTTAGTGAAATAGAAATGGTCACTTGGTCTTTATTCCAACATTCCTCTAAGACTTTCGTATATTACAGTCATTATGAACAGATTATAAGCAGACTTTCCCAGACCTCCTGCAACTAGGGTTTCCTAAGGGATTGGGATTCACCACTCAAATGCACTCATGCAACCTTGAATAAGGAGCCAAGTTAAGTGGGGAAGGATGCAGGGCTCACAGGCATGGTTTCGTTTTGCAGCCAGCTGGCTTGATGGTGGGTTTTGATCCCAGGACCAAGGCTGAGACAGTGTGTCCCTGGAACCAGCATCTGCAACAGCTATTTCCTGATCCTTGGAGTATGACTAAGGAATAGGACCTGGCGCCTTTCATTTGCTACAGTGGTTTACCAATTCCCTGGATTCCTGAAGGTCACTTAGTGTCGCTGTCCTGCAGTCACATTCTCCTGGGAGCCATTCCTGGGGGCCAAGCCTAGAATCCCACTCCTTTTGCCCTTCCAACAATTTTGTAACCAGCTAATGCCCTGAATTAAATCCCTTTCTACATAAAATAGCTATTGGGGACTTAGTACAATTGAACCCCAACTTTCAGTAGAGATTTGCTGAATGCCCACAGTATGCCAGTCTCAGTGCTACCAGTGAGAGAATAGACATTAATTCATCTGTATTGAGCACCTCCCATGTGCCACAGATCATTCTGATACCTCTTTCCTTTAAGACCTTATCAGTGATAATTACATTTGGATACATGTGAAAATAATGACAGATGGTACATTATGAGGCAACCGGTTAGTGCTATAACAGGAGATCTAAATAAAGTTATAGAGGAGCAGAAAAGACAGAGCAAGATTAGATGAGCCTTCAGAAGTGGGGTTCTACGCACCCTCAATGGAACACTACTATCAACTGTTCCTACGTCTGCTTCGTTCTCTGCTTGTCCACCTGCGGGGCTTACCACCCTTCGCTCCAGCCAGATTGGTCTTCTCCTGATCTCTCACCTCTCTGTCTTTGCTCATTTGACTCCCCAACACCATGAGTGTTCCTCTTTGCCCACCCAAATTTGATTCCTCGTTTTCTGAATTCCTACAACTCTTGGGGGCCACACTCAGAGTTTTGTGCTCAGTCTCTGTCATGTGGGGCCTAGATAGTTTGTAACTGTCACCCATCTGCTTATTCAGCTTCACAGCCCTTGAAAACAAGGGACTATTCACTAAGCATGTGGCAGTCGCTGGATAAGCAGCTAGATACATTTAATTTGTGAGTAGCCTTCACTGCATGATTCACCTGCTTGTTCTCAGGGCCCTCACCCTGGCTGTCCTGAAATGACACCCACAGAAATGGGAGTTCAAGAAAGATGCAGAGACCAGTTTGAGGGTGCAGAGAGGACAAGAAAGGCAGGGAACATAATACACAAGAAATAAAATGCAAAAGCAAAAGTTAAAAAATACTTTGCACCTGGCTGGCTCAATCAGAAGAGCATGTGACTCTTGATCTCAGGGTGGTGAGTTTGAGTCCCACATTGCATGTAGAGTGTACCCTAAAAAATAAATAGATAAACTTAAAAAGAAACCTTGCCTTAGGCTGGACAATACTTTTCTGTCTTCATTTGGTAGCATTTCCATCCTAGATGGTATCAGTTTGACTTTTGAAGTACCCATTCGGATTCTAGGAGTCAGGTTGGATTCTTCTGATGCTCACATAAGGGTAACAACAGAGTCTAAGTTCCCAAGAATGCTCCCAAATTAAAAACCCCAGCCTGTCACTTGCAATCCCTATCAGCTAAGGCTGCACAAGCCACTGGCAGTTTCCAAGCATTTGCTATAGTTCTATTATGCCAGTACCAAAACCAAAACATTGTCCGTGCTGTTCCGCCCACCATAATTCAGGAAAGCCAGCTCAGAAAAATAAGATGTTTCCCCTGAGGACAAACAGGGATTTGGAAGGCTTTGCAGTATTTATTTAGTTTACTCACCGCTCATACATCCCCATACAGAGCAGTACATTTGAACAATGAAAAGGTCTGGTTGGCAGCTGACCTGTGTAGAGTATGAGCATGGATAAATACCAACCAGCACATGGAGATACATGGGTCTTAAATGGGTCCAAGGTTTTTGAACCCGGAACTCAAAGGCCCTTGCTTTTAACACAGAGACTCTTGCTCATGCTGTTGGGATTCATTCCCAGGGACACTTCCTAGTCATCATTTATTCATCTAGATGCTCCCAAGACAGAAGTAAGTCCCTCGATGTCGGGTGCTCTGAGAAGGCATCCCCTAACTCTTCGATGCCACCGGAGACTCATTTATCACCTGCTACCAACAATTGCTCTTCAGAGCAGAAAGAAGTCACAGAGTTGTATTCACACACCAGAGGCGAGGTGGGACCCAACCACACAGGCACACTGGGCCCTGCCCTCCAGCCCCCTTCAGATTGCCAGCACTCCTCCCCTTACCCTGGGGAGGTTCTCAGAATCAGTGTAGGCAGCTATTTCCCTCATTTGTCAAATGACAAAAAGAAACAAACAAAACCAACCATTCTTAGCAAAACCGAGGCCCAGATGGCATTAATATCTCAGCCAAGGTCATACTGCAGGATAAATTCCAAACCCTCAGATTCATCATTGGTTCCCCATTTGGATAAAGTCCAAACAGCTTAACGGGCACGTGAAGCTCATTGTGACCTGACTATCCACCTCCACCCCTCCTGCCTCTTGCTGATGCCTCCAACCTTGCTGACATCACTGATGTCCGAGACTCACAGTGCCCATTCTCAGCCAGATGCTTGCTAGAACAGCCTTCTCCAGTGTCCAACCCCATCACCTTCTCCTGCCTCATCCCCACTCATCTTTGGGGTCTCAGCACCTCATTCAATCCATCAGTCAATCCACAGGCATTCTGCAGTACTTACCTTACGCACACCATACCAGGTGCTGAGGATACGGCAGTGAATAAGCGGACCTGGTCCCCGCCAACCCAGAGTTTGTGGCCCAGTGAAGAGACACAAACAGGCAGTAATAAGATGCTGAGATGTGGAGTGACAGG